TGAAAACTTGTTTCTGGTGACAAAATTTTTTTTCTATATGTTGTCTACAGAAAAACAAATTATGTTTCAGGTGCTTAAGTTATATGATAAGTTTTAGTAGCTTAGTACCGGAGTTGCCTTGTGACTAAAGAACGGAGATACCTTGTGATGGAAGAAAAGACGAGTACGTTTGTGTCGAAAACAATCTTTTGGCTTATCCTTGATATATTGATGACAAGTAAAAATTGAAAATGACGTTTAATTTGTAATCAGTTACATAAATTAATCGACATTTATTACTAAAATTTTTCATATTCTCTATAAATAAACGCAAATTACGTGTAATATATTTCATCAAGTTATATAGTTTTCTATAGAGTGAGAATTAGGGATTTAGTAGCTTCGAGGAGTGTGAAGAAGAGACAGAGGAGGAAGCAGATTTTGGCGGTGAGGTTGGAATTTTCTCTATATCGCTGGAAGGAAGCAGAACATTGGATCAGGCAGTGTGGAAGGCACTCCAAACTCGAATCAGGGTGGCCCCTCGGGGGAGAAGTCCACATGTTCATAAAATTATGAATATATTTACATGAAACTTTGTTTTGTCTGCAATATCTTTTTTCTTATCTTAAGTCAATTAGTGTGGAGTAAAACGAAAAAGGAGTTTTGTTTTACATGCTTGATCTGCCCATAATAAGGCCCAGGAACATAGATCATTTTATGGTCATTAAAACCATTCGCTAACCTAATTAATTCTGGGAAACCAAACGGGTTTTGATTGAAGCTTTAATCGTCCCGACTTCTAGTTTATCGTCTGATTCTAGTTCACGAGCCTCCAACAATCCAGGGTTTGTCCTGCTCCTCTTTGTGTCTATGTGTTTCCCTTGTTACTATTTCGTTTGGTTGGCTTTTTTAATCTCTTAAACGATGTTTTTTCTTTTTCTTTTTTCTTATCAGAGTCGGAAAGAGGAAGCCAACAAAATCCAACTTTTCTATCTTAGGGCAACTCTTTGGGTTTTTTCTCAAAAGATATAGACAAAATCAGTGGGTTATCAGATGACTTGCTTATTAAGATATTATTGTTTGTTCCCACAAAAGTTGTTGTTTCCAGTAACGTTTTGTCCAAATGATGGGAGTATCTTTGGATGTGGTTGCCTAAATTTTACTACAACGATAGCAATTATTCAAAGTCTGAATGCGAGAGACTACAGTGTTTTCTTAACAGAAATCTGCCATTACATAGAGCTCCGGTTATAGAAAGCCTCAGTCTTCAGTTAAGTACTACACATTTTAAAGCTGAAGATGTCAAGCTGTGGGTTGTAATAGCTATTTCTCACTTCGTGCGTGAGCTGGATATTATGTATGCTTATGATCAGAGTAAGCGAGATATTTTGCCGAGTAACTTGTATACATGCAAATCGCTCGTGATTTTGAAACTCGTTGGCGAGTTTCTCTTGGATGTTCCTCGAATGGCTTTTCTTCCCTCTCTTAAAACTTTGAAACTTCAAAATGTTAGATATTTCAATAAAGAATCTCTTCAACGGCTTTTATCTAATTGTCCAATTCTTGAAGATCTATCGGTGAATTTGTATGAGTATGACATCACGAGAAAGTTAACTATTGTTGTCCCATGTTTGCAGAGTTTATCACTTTATATATCCTTTAGTCATGATATAGATATAGATGGGGTTGTGATAAAAACTCCTTCTTTAAAGTATTTGAAACTTATGGATGATAGCGAGAAGAGTCGGTACTGTTTGATTGAGTATATGCCTAACTTGATCGAGGCATATGTAGATGTTGATTTACCTAACATCAAGAGTCTTATTGGATCAATCACATCTGTCAAGCGTCTTGCAATATGTTCAAAGGTAATGACTTTTCATCTACCAACTCATTTATATAATCATTTGTTAATAAAATTTAATAATGTGGGCAGGCTGTGTATGGTAAAGGTTTTGTCTTCAACTAACTTGAACATCTGGAGCTATGTAGATGTAAAGAGCATTCGTCGAATAATCTACTTGTCCGGCTGCTCAAAGATTCGTTGAACTTACAAGTACTAGACCTTATCGTTATGGATGTAAGTCTTTTCGTTAAACAACTTTTTTTTTTATGCGTGTTTGATGCGTAATGGTTTTAGTCTAATTCTTCTGTTTGATCTCAGGATCATTCCTTTGAGGATGTTACTTTTTACTGGAATCAACCAAGTAGTGTTCCTAAATGTATTTTGTCGAGTCTACAAACTCTTAACTGGCTGGATTACATAGGAGAACCATGAGAGAGAGATCTTGTGGTTTATATCTTGCAAAATACTCTTCACTTGAAGATTGCAAGAATCAAGCCTATTGAAGGTTTTCCAAAATATAAGATGCTAAAGAAGTTAGCACTTTCTTCTAGAGCTTCAACAACATGCCAACTCATGTTTGATTGAGAGTATATGATCATCAAAACCGGGGTTCTTCTTCAGTTATATTCTATGTGCTCGGACTCGTATGGTTTGTCTTCAACTCGAAAACTTGTTTTCGACAACAACATTTTGTGTTTATGTTGTCTACTGAAAAAAAAACTCATGTTTCTGGAGCTTAAGTTATATGATAAGTTTTAATAGTTTAATTCCGGAGATGCCTTGTGATTGAAGAAAAAATAAGTAGGTTTGTGTCGAAAACAATAATTTTGCTTATGATATATTGTTGACAAGTAAAAACAGAAATAACGTTTCATGTAATCAGATACATAAATTAATCGATCTTTCGTACTAAAAAATCTGCATATTACTTATAATATTTTGCATCAAGTTATATACAAGTTTTCTATAGAGTGAGAGTTAAGGATTTAGTAGCTTGGAGGAGTGTGAAGACGAGGCTGAGGAGGATAATGGTGGTGGGGAACGCATCGTTAATGGCGGATTTTGGCGGTGATTAGGCCCATATTTGGTAAGCTCGGCCCATAGTCAGGCCCAGTAACATTTGCTAAACCCAATTAAAAATGAAGCCGAGCGATCTGATCTTCTTCTTCCTTTTCCTCGCTTTTCGATTCAACCTTTGTACTTTTCATTTACCCTTTCTCGAATTGAAATGGGTATTCAAATGCTTTTCTTCGGACACTTTTGGTTTATCATCTGATTCTTGTTCCCGAGCCTCCAACACTGAAATTCACAGGAAAAAGACTCGTCACCTAACAATCCAGGTTCTGTCCATTTCTTCTTTGTGTCTGTGTTACTAATTCGATTGGTTGGATTTTTTTAATCTTAAAAGATGTGTTTCTTTCATTCTTATCAGTGTCGGAAAGAGGAAGACAACAAAATCCAACCTTTCTCTCTGACGGTAACTCTAACAGTCAGTAGTATATTGGGTTTTAGAAGATATGGATAGAATCAGTGGGTTATCAGATGAATTGCTTGTTAAGATACTATCGTTTGTTCCTACAAAAGTTGCTGTATCCACTAGCGTTTTGTCCAAACGATGGGAGTATCTTTGGATGTGGTTGCATAAACTTGAGTTTGGTCATAGTTCTTATTTTGCTGAATCCAAGAGGTTAAGGAAATTTCTTACCAAAAATCTGCCATTACATATGGCTCCGGTTATAGAAAGCTTCAGTCTTGACTTAACTAAGTCATATTCTAAACCTAAGGAAATCAGGATGTGGGTTGTAATAGCTGTTTCTCACTGTGTACGTGAGCTGGAGATTATGTATTCTTCTAAATATAGGCCAAACATATTGCCGAGTAACTTGTATACATGCGAATCGCTTGTGATCTTGAAACTCGATGGCGAGATTCTCTTGGATGTTCCTTGAATGGTTTTTCTTCCCTCTCTCAAAACTTTGAAACTTCTTCAAAGTGTGAGATACTCCAATGAAGAATCTCTACAACGGCTTTTGTCTAATTGCCCAATTCTTGAAGATCTATCGGTGGAATTGCGTGAGAAAGACGTTACAGGAAAGTTAACTGTTGATGTCCCATCTTTGCTGAGTTTATCACTCTATATACCTTATATTCATGATATAAATGGGTTTGTGATAGATACTCCTTCTTTGAAGTATTTTAAAATTGAGGATCATAACTATGAGAGTTACTTCTGTTTGATGGAGAATATGCCTAAGCTGAAAAAGGCATATGTGGAAGTAGAATTCTCTGATATCAACGATCACATTTGTCGAGCGTCTTACAATATGTTCAGAGGTAATCATTTTCCATTTATCAACTCATTTATGTAATCATTTGTCAATAAATTTTATTATTATGCGCATGCTATGTATGATGAAGGTTTTGTCTTCAACCAACTTGAACATCTTGAGCTATGTATATGCAAAGAGCATTCGTCGGATCTACTTGTCAGGCTGCTCAAAGATTCTTGTTACTTACTAGGGATAGGCCTTTCCATTATAGATGTAAGCTTGTTCGTTAAACAATTTTTTTTTTGGTCTGATGCACAAAATTGTTTTTAGTCTTAACTCTTGTGTTTGATCTCAGTTTCATGAACCTAAGGGTTCATTTTATTGGATACAACCAAGTACTGTTCCTGAATGTCTGTTGTCGAGTCTACAAACTCTCAAGTGGTCGGATTACACAGGAGAACCGGAAGAGGCAGATGTTGCGGTTTATATCTTGCAAAATGCTGTTCACTTAAAGACTGCAAGAATCAAGTCTTTTGAATCGAATGTTCCAAAACTTGAGATGATTCAGGAATTGGCACTTGCTTCTAGAGCTTCAACAACATGCAAACTCATCTTTGATTGAGACTATTTGATCTTCTTCTTCAAGTCCCCTATGTGCTTTTGTCTTCAACTCTAAAAACTTAAGTCTGTGTGTTGGCCACGGAGAAAGCAAATTCTGTTATCTTTAGCTAAGTTATATAATAAGTTTTAATACTTTATGAAAATGTTAAGCCTCCTCCACTAGTGGCTTTGTGCTGTTTGGCAACAGAGTTAATTATATTCTCCTTCCCTTTATGTGTTTGTGGCTCATAAAGTTTCAACCTTTCAATTTCCCAATTCCAAATCTAAAACAATCTCTCGAGAAAATGTCTCTCCAATCTATCAAAACGCCGACTTTGATAACTCCGACCACCGTTGCTTCCTCCTCTAATGTCAACAAGCTTCAATCTTTCAGAGTCGCCGTCAACAATCGCCAGCCGTCGTTCTACGGAACCCGTTTGAATCTCAGCCTCAAACAAGCTTCTCCGGCACCGAAATTCCGGTGCTCTGCGTCGGCGCTTACGCCGCAGCTTAAAGATACATTGGAAAAGTTGGTGAATTCGAAGAAAGTTGTCCTTTTTATGAAAGGAACGAGAGATTTTCCGATGTGTGGATTTTCTAACACGGTGGTTCAGATCTTGAAGAATCTGAACGTGCCTTTCGAAGATGTGAACATATTGGAGAACGAGATGCTTAGACAAGGACTTAAAGAGTATTCGAATTGGCCGACTTTTCCTCAGCTTTACATCGCCGGTGAGTTTTTCGGTGGTTGTGATATTACTCTTGAGGCTTTTCAGAGTGGTGAATTGCAGGAAGTTGTTGAAAGAGCTATTTGTTCTTGAATACTGATCAATAGTAGTTGTATTGATTTGGTTTTTGTACTGATGGTATTTGGTCTCTTTCTATGTCTGTAACATAAGAGACATATTTGGTATGATGATGGATTTAGATATAGAACAGTACCATGTGTTTGAAAATCTATACATTTACAATCTTGAATCTCCTTGTGGATTTGATAAGTGTCTTTTTTCTTGTATGTTTGGTCTGCCCTTTTCTTGTGTTGTTGTTGAGATGTTTATGTGCAAAGATTAAAACTTTGGAGATTCTAGTATCTTTCTAAGTATTAGAAGTTTGTCTCTGACTAACGTCATGGGTTGTTTTGTTCATTCTTGAAGATGGGTTTGAAATTTGAATGGGAAAAGAAAGTTAAGAGATGTAGTTCTATGTTCCCTGCAAAGTTGGTGGTGTGCTTCTCTGGAAACAAATGTCATGATGAATCAAACCTCAAAATATTCACAAACAATCCACTTTAGTGCAGGGATTAGAGAAGCGATGATCATATGCAGAAAAAAGGTACTTCACCAAGAAATGTAATCTGGTCCATAGTTTGTAAAACCATTAAGTATCAAATTAACCCAATCAAGTGAAAAACTTAATCACGTTCATCAAGAGTCATGTAAGAACCAAACCCGCCTTGGGAAATGCAGAATTTTCCTAGTTGCAGTATTTGCAGATGAGTGTTTCTGAACAACAAAAGAATATGGATTTATATGTTTGGTCTGCCCTTTTTTTGTATTGTTGAAGATATGTGCAAAAGATCAATCTTGGTAAAAAGTCCAGTCTAATCTCATTCAAAACTCTCCATTGTGTTTCAATATACACAGATTTTTTAAAGGTTATACTGAATCTGGCTCAGATTTCCTGTGATAATTTATCATTTTGCCAGTGGATTATGATAAATGGCAAAACCGTAATTAAGTAGATTCGTCCTTTTGCCTGAACCACAAAGAGCAGATAGATTATCAACGAGAATAAGAACATGATATTGAGTTGCCACGTGGCCCAATAAGAAAGCCACGCAAGCTCTGTTTAGCCAATTGCAATCTGCGTTTAGATTCGCATCCTACAAAACCTTACTTATACGATCACTCTTCAACACTCAAAACTTCCAAACACCTATCGTTCACATCTTTATCTCTGTGGT